ATTCCTGTGAATGAATTAGCTATAAAGCTTTCCGAGTATCACGTAACTTCCTGTGTGAAACTTGCCGAGAGGATCCTCACACATCCGGACCACCCATTGTATGCAGAACTGACACCTTGTTATTCCAATCATTCAACACGCTCCCAATTCCGTCAAATTTCATCTCGAATTAATGCATACCGCAGTTCACCCATACCGTATCTTGCTTGTCTACTCACAAACAAAGAGCGAACAATGAGTGAACTTTGTCNCCTTGGATTATGAATGTCTCCATGCCTGCGAAAACTTTTCTCCCCGTTGATTATGTACATTGTGACGGCTAGCGTGAATGCTTTTTAACTGAAATGTGAGCTCCAGTGCTTGCAAAAGTTATACACAATACAATACAATAGAGAGAAAGAGAGCGAGAAACTTGGATTATCCCTCAGATTAGAAACAAGCTGTTACAGGTGAATAGAATGCGAATCCTAATGCTGATGTGAGAACGGATAAAACTAAAACGTGGTTAAAACTATACTAGGAACCAGCTCTCAATGTGGGTTTTGGAGAAAAGTTACTTACTTTCAAACAAAACACGAATTGTTCCGATTGAGAAAAAAAGATCCGGCTAGAAATGGAGTTTTGGACAAAATCTATGGCATACAAAATACGCACAGACGATCTTCTATAAAATACAAGCAAGATGGTACCTTTTCAATTCCTTCCTCGATTCTGTAAACTGTGTTGTTTTATTAAGAAATTCCTGAATGTATGACAAAGAGAATGCATCGTTCGGGAAACGACAGAAAATAAAATTCTCTCTCCTCATCTAATAGGTCTATGCATGTAAATTATCGCAGAACATTGCCAAACTGTGAACTAATCATTTATTGACTCCACCTTCGTGTGAGGGATCATGCAAATCGAAGAAGATCACGTGAGTGGATGAGTACGAAGGAGACACCAATTAAGGAATTTAAATCGGATTCCATCTTTTCCTATCAACCCTTCACCACTTTCCGCGATGCGATTGAGGAGGACTTTGTTTCCAAGGTGGAAACGGGGAATGCTTTACGCAATAAAGACTCCTTTACCATCTATATATAATTATTCTTAGTATACTATTACACATAACCCAAGTGCTACAGAAACAAATCACATCGGTGGATACAGATCATGTTAGTTGGTGAATGAGCAGCAAATCCTAAGATCTGCATACTTCTAACGATTTATTCTCCTATTCTGAAGAAGATAGGGGCTTAATTATGTGTCTCGTAACCGTAATAATAATAAAACTTTGTAATTAGCACGGAACCCTCGGTTATGAGTTGGGAACATGTGTCCTCAAGCAGCTCTTTCCTCCTAGAATTGCGAGTTAACGCCTAAGTATTGCGAATTAGTATTGTGGCGGTAATATTCCGTTATTTTTAACCTTTGCAACATACACCCGCCAAAATATGGTGTGTTGGACTCCGCTTCTGCCTATATGTATTCGTCCTTTGAATGTACCACTTATGAACTATAACCCTCAAGTAGCCCAAGCGCCAGAAAATTTATCAATACTTATTCCTACCCAGAAAAACCACTGCCTCTTACGATAAGCACAAACAAGAGGTATGGTTTTATATTCTCAATAGCTCTGGAACATAATTTGAACTCTCTGATTTGGTGGAAGAGACATGTTCGCGTTTCGAATGTATTTCGATTTGGGATAAATGTTACCGGAAACCCTGTTGCCGTTTGGCGATGATGTTACGACGTTATTGAGCTCAAAATGAGTAAATTGATGAAACGAGCATGTGAGTGTAACAAATAGACCAATTATTGGTTTTCTGGTAAACAAAACGGTTTTTCCGAAAGAAGTGACGCTCTCGAAAATGGCAACTACAAGGAAACCTGAGTGGCTGAAATGAATACCGTATATTAGCAACAAGCATTGTATGATTTGTGATTTAACATCTAATAAAGGTAAGTTGACTCATTCGCACTATAAAAGGATCCTGAATAAAACCGAAGCGTTTTAGCCACAGCAAACACGAAGATTAGGCGACATTTTTATCATTTTGCAAGGCCTTTCAAAGTCACTGTAGAATGAATGTACTTAAAAATAAAATATAATATCTTCATTCCAGTTCAGTAGTTCACTTTATGAACCGCTGTCCCATTAATTGAAGTAGTAATCATGGATATTCAACAGTGGCTTATTAGCTTGAATGTGATGCTCACTCTGCATTGGTTTCAAGTGAGAATGGAATTCAGACATCCAATTTGCGTTGGACCTGGAGGGAAGTTCATAGGCCCAGGGTCAACACATAACGTGTTTCCCAATATTTCCATGGATTTTGAGCTCGTTTTGTGTGCACGCATCTCGGCAAGTTTGTAACAAGTTGTTGTATGCAACTACCGTCTTATAGCTCTGTGAATCCCGATGCTCGTTTTTCGATCAGTAGCAACTATTGGAAATGCCATAACCGTCATACTAGATACCTATTTTCTCATAAACAAACTGATAATATGAGGCTACTAGGGTCTTTTTAGTTGGTTAGTTAAAGTGCAGATTGTTTGAGCTTTTGTTCGACTATAAACCATGACACCAGAAATCATTCTTTGTACCGGCGAGAGGAAAGCTTGCAGTCAGACAGACAGACAAACAAATAGAGATGTGACTTACCTCCAAGAGCAGCCACCTGTCCAGCCATGAGTACACTTGCTCCATTATCAATGGTCATGAACAAATCTGTGTCCACAATTCCTTTCCGTATTGTATTAGAAACTTTGGCACCTGGAAATGAAATAATGCTGAGAGCATTAGGAATATTAAAATCACCATGCATTAAAGAATTTTCTTTTATTTACACAAATGTGGACACAAACGTGAGTAGGCGTGCAAATGTATTCTTGAAAGCCTCGCTGGGAACCACAAGGAATATTTTTCTAATAAAATAATGTACATAACCGCAAAAAGATTTCAACTGAATGAAATAATGCGATACATTTAGCAGTCTTTATCAGGTGTTTATGTCCTACCTATTGACAGGTTTGTAAACAAACTGAAATATCTCAGTGTTATTCATGTCGTTGCATATATCCCATCTTAATAATGTGAATTAATGTCGAATATACTGCAATATGTTAAACTGCTACAATGCTTCTGTTGACCGATTATATTTTCACGCTCCTTTTTGAGACGACTGAATATGAGACCAAATAATAGCATTTGCTTTGACCTAGAACAGCTGTGGGAGAAAGCGGGAATGAGATAAACACGGATTGGATCACTCAAAATGCGTTCCGTGCATAGCAATCATGTATGGAATCATACTTCATGTGAAGTGCTCTTCGCGAGAGGCGATTTTAGGGGCAAACCTGTGCTGCTTTTCCACATCAGCAATGACGAACAACCCTCACCCCCGCGCCACACAATAAGTTATTTGTGTTATTTGACGACTTTTAGGTAATCAGGTTAGTGACCGAGGCAAGCAATTATACTTCATCATGAGAAAACAAATTTGTTTTCAGTGCGTCTTAGTCGTGTAAGCACTCAGGCTCCGGACTGCCGACTCGTCCCAAAAAATCGGACCAAAAATCGGGGACCAATTATGATACAAACTGTTGAATACTTTAACTACTTCCGCTTTTTTCCTTGTAGCACTTTATCTAGGACTAATCATATATGTATTGTGTTGTAATAGCATGCTTGAGACACACTGAAAATGAGTTTGTTTGCCAAATTGTGTTCTCATTATGTACTCCGTGGAACTGTTTAAAACTTAATTCATCGTCTTTTTACATGGCAAAATACACTGCCCCGAACTCCGTTGGTTCTCATAATTCAAAGATAGCATTCAGTATTTCGTCACGGCTTTATCGCCCAACAAACATGATGCAAACGATGTACAAAAATTATGCACGAAGCAGTTTCTGTATAATTGATAAATGAGGATTAAAAATGGGATGAGTAAGAAGCCCAAATGATTTAAAATATGAATAAGGATAACAATGGATAACGTCAGTGAATCGCATCTATGCCTTTCAACCGGTTATAGCTTTTCTAAAAGGAGGTTACGGTTTCTTCACTATAGTTCCAGATATTGGCGAATGCGGTACAGAGTCTTTACAAAGTGAACTTTCATGCATTAGAACAAATATGGATGAATTTCGCCAAAGCACAACTGGGTTGTATCTCTCAAATGAGGTAATGGTATATTATCCCCGAATAAACGTGTTAGGCGGCTAAATGGTTTGTCACTAATTTGCTTTTGAAATTGGTCAGCACAAGCCAAATACACCCAATGTTATGATGGAAATTAGAAACGGCAAGACAGTAGTCAAGCAAAAGTCAAGGTTTTTGAATGTGTTACAGTTGGCGCATTGCATGGGTTATACGTTTTCTGATCGACATATAACAAATGGATACATTAAACCACTTTAATAGAAGTACTTACCCATATTTATGAACAAAAGTAGGCTATACTGCACATGATTGAACAAACCGTCATAGTGGTTGACGAAAAAAGAAGACTACTTTCTTGGGGCTACTTGCAAGAAAAGACTTTCCGTTTAGAGAAAAAGTTCAGTTATGTTCAAAATGACACAATTACACCGTGGTCACAACAACTACGGTTATTTTCCCTTAAACTATCAATTATCTTTTGCTATACTGGGGTAAGTGGGACTAGTATTCTTCGATAGTTTAGGTTTATAAAGTGTTGATTAGCTTAAACATTATGTAGGATCAACATTTGAATTGCACTTAAAATTTCGTGATCATTATGCAATCAACAGATATCGAAAGGTATTCCCATTGATGCATGAGAACAAAGGGAAACCCCTAAAGGAATTCCTTTTCTGTATAGACGTTTGGCCCATGTATCACTGAATAGTCCAAGGTGGATTTGAACCAGCATGCGTGCGTAGGCAGAAAGTTCTATCGGCTAATCACAATCAACGAATGAGGCAAGTTAGTGTAAAAAATGTGGAACACTAAAGGCAATGGCAGTGATCGGAATCTTCTCGGCGTTACACGTTCTCAGTGAAATCATCTCTTGCTAGGAAAATTAAATATGGTTCATGCTTGGAGTAACGCAGGGGCTTTATGAAGACTACTGTATGCTCCTAACTTCAAGTATCTCAACAGATCAGAGTCACTGCAAATGGAGTCGCACATTTCTCCTCGGCTCCGGCTTACTACAGTATTTCAATATTTGTGACTAAGATGCGATTTTGTACTACACAGAGTAATCACCAGGTGCCAACACCAATACCAAGAGCCTTTAGTAGATTAGAAATCACTTTCTGCTTCTGTTCTACCTTACATTGAATCAGGAGCACAAATGTTTTCTTTAATCTGAAAAAACCAAACGTCATCTTTGCGATTTCTTATGTCATATCGTGTATATCTCAATTGACCGAGGATTCTCGGTTGTACAAGCATTACGAGGTAAATCAAATGCATCGCTGATGCAAGAACTTGCACGCGAACCGTGGCTCAAGCCGCAAGTCGTCTGACCTGACTAAACATGACTTATTCTACTCTCTATTGTAGTGCAGACACAACAGCAACCGTTTTGAACGGAGTGTGTGAATGATGTGCATGTCTCTCAATCAACCCTCTTTGGTTCATGGTTGCCTTTTTGTATTTCCCCTGTTTTGCAGATTGTTTGAAATCCCCCTCCATGGAGAACCTACTGTGAGAAGTGTGTCCTACGTGTGTATTGAGAGCTTCAGTGAGTGGCCAGGGATTGAGCGGCCTTTATGGGAAGACGCGAATTGTGCAGGAACTCGAACTGCACTGCCCCGAGTCAAACTCCTGCCACCTACCTGGGCCGAGTAGGTAGCACGCTTGCGTTCTGCCTATGAGGTCCGGGTTTGATCCCCAGCTGGGTCAATGGATTTGCACGGCTGATGAGACCCAACCAAGTCGAAAGAGCTGTGCAATGCTTCCTAGCTTTTTAGTTCACACTTCGCTTGCGATGTACACGACGAATTCACCTTTGAAAAAGATATATTACTCGTTTTTCTTGAAGACGCTGTCTGCATTTGAAAAGTGTAAACGTGTCAATGGACAACTAGGAGAGAGACAATATTGTTAGTTTTATTTATTAAAAATTATAATTTCTACACCCGCCTCGATACACACAGTCCGGTTAAGTTGAAGGTTAAATTTAGTCCGAAAAGACTGCAACTACAGCCCAACAACCCCGATCCGTAGCTGATTTAGCATTTGTATACCGTGCTCACCTCCGGTCACGTTTTGGATGTCGTAATCAGAGAACTAATGGAAAACCATATAAACAGTGCAAATTTTAAAAGATATGGACTCGATACCTAAAAGGATAGATAACCTCAAACATATCCCATTAGTGGTGAGTGAATTATTGACCTACGTGCAGTTCAGCAGTTACACATTACGTAGCTTGAGTGTTTGTAAATCAATGCTAGTTTTAAATGACTATAAATACTGCTTTTTCTTTCCTCTCATCTGTTTGTGATAATACTAAATTGCTGATCCGTCTCTATGAACCGCCCAACTTTTTTCACTGTTTGGTAGAAAACTCTCAGTTGTTTTCCACTAATAGATAGGGTTGCCTCCTGTTAAGCTGGTAGGCAGCTTCTGGCTCACTATCATGCCCATTCTCAGGGCTTGGGTGGCTCGTTCTCATAATGTTATGGTAGATCCTGGTGATCACGGGGCTCATAACAATTATGATTGCTACGGTTATTCTTATCAAAGCGCGTGATTACGTCGGTCTATAAACCGTGAAAACAGAGTGGGTGCAAAGAGTAAAGCCAAAAGAGAGGTATTATGGAGCCAAGAAAATAGGAGAACGGTACTACTACTACTACTACTACTACTACTACTACTACTACTGTCACAGAACATATCACCTACTAGATTGGCGCGGTGATGTGCAACGATGATAATTTTCCTTGGTTTCAGTAATACTATGAACACTTCAAGTCACCAATTTTATAATGAACGAAGTTGCGCATATTACCGTCATCCCTAACATCCCTATCCAAAAGTAGATGTGATTTTCACTCTGAACGCGAGCCAACCGGACCAACTCCCATCTAAAGCCACCTATATTCTCCTGCTGCCATGAGTGGTTCTAGAGAGGAACTAGATGCGCTGTTTGAGAAGCAAAGGGATGAACGGTACCGGAGATGCCACATATTCCCTTGATTTTTCACGAATTTCTCTATGAAAGCAACTTATCCTCCTCCTTTTGACAATAGCTGTCTAATTGTGAGTTATCTGAAGCATCGGACAGTAAGTTGCAGCGAAGAGAACTTTGTTGTTTGCTGGCAAGCTCCCACTGCATATAAGCTCAATATGAATGTGCAAGGTGAACACTTGGTGCGTTTAGAGAGTAACTGAAATCAAACTACTCCGATTAACACATAGAAGACCGATTTTGACTGTGTTGACCAGGTTTCAAGCAATCCGATCTCGTAAAAATTGCTATTCACTCGCAGCCGCATCTTTTGTTGTCTCTAAACCTCCAATTTTCACTGCTTTAATTATCCACTATTGGAAGCACAATTGCACAAACCACTTTCAGAGAAAAGAAATTGTTCAATCGCAGAAAAAAGCTGATAGTTAAGTTTGAACACCGCCTCTTGGGTGATGCAGTAATAGCCACTATGCCTTGAACACGACCACCAAATGTCCTTTGGATGTTACCTCAGAAGACAAGAGATACTTTCTGGTCTCAGCTGTAAACAAAATGAAGTCGCATCCGGGGGCATCTACCTACCTTAAGTCTCTTACAAACATAAACGATCTTTTCAAGCTCTGAGCTTCTTCGCAGATGAGTCTCCCTTCATCGCCGGTTTAATCCATTATCAATACACAATGGTTTATCTTGGTGTTTCTCATTTACTATCCCCATTCCATCTGGTCCTTAGTGGAAGCAACTAGTACCGAATCTTGAGAAGACCGAGAGCAACCAAGTGGATTCAGTTGCATTCGCTCTCCTCGGCGCTTGAAACACCATATTGACTGCTTGCATTAGACTGCCTGGGGGAACTTCAGCAGTAGTGGCTTGAAAATTGCTCAAGAGTCCTTTGAGGCAATCTATCCAGTGGTCTAGCCTTAACGCGCATCTGGGAAGTGCCTCATTCAATTCCACAAAAGCTGTTTCACTAGTCAGACATAAGAATATATTCATATGGATTTGTCTTCAAGTTCCCGACTATGTATGCATGTACTGTTGGTTTACATGTGCTAACATTTGACAGCATACCATCACAAAAGATGTTACCGGTCAGAGCCTAATAACGGCTCCAGTTTCTGTGTTAGTTATCGGCAAGTGTTTATGTCAATGATGTGTGAAGGAGACAACCAGTTTGTATCTAATGCATGACAAATTATATATCTACACGAACGCAACCTACCGCATCTTGCTTGCCGCCAGCACAGAGAAGCGCATACATCAGCATGAACGGTGCAAAACTCATTCGTAGTAAGGCATCAGGCTTTGTTGTTTTCTTCTACTCACCTCTATTGGACGAGAATCTAGTGTAATTAAACTTAACACAAAACTTTATGTTCACGTTTTCGGTTCCTAAACTTAATTGAGTATCGTCTGCCGGGTGAGGTAGATGTGCTGCTTTATTGATTTTATAAAAAAGGATTGCTTCTGTTGAAAGAATTGTGATATAAAGAGTTTAAAACTAATTATCACCTCTCCAGTGTTTGAAGTGTGGTGAGAAGTGTATAGAAATGTATTTACCTTCCGTGGAGACGCTCTATCATTTATTGATGCAGTAACCCATTTTGGCCTTTTAGCTTTCCCTGATTGTATGAATGCTGATTATCAAGGTCTTGTATGTCCCCGCACCGATAGACTTTACCGAAATTTACGAACGATTGTTGGCATCTCGGTCTCATTGCTGTTCGGTCATGTGCACTCAGATACTAGGTAAACAAAAGTCTGTTTTCCGCTACAAATTAGCATATACTATCTAATTCTCAGGCGAGTCTAACCAGGAATTATTCCTCCTTTAGTGTCCGAGTGAGTGCAGTACCAACCGATACCACACATCAGTTCTGTCCACGGATCACAATTCTGCAACGGTTCAAAAATTGGATGAGGTAAAAAGCCTAAACCGAGTTGTAACTTGACCACTAAAATTTTGTTCAATTTACTCATGACTGTATCCATCAGTTCAGTCACAAATAAAAGGGAGCTGTACTGCACAGGAAGAAAACTCTGTGGACGTGACAATTTTGAATACTTATTGCCTATTCAAAGATAGAATGTGAAGCTTAAAAAAGTTAACCCGAAGATAACATAAGTGAAAAAAAAGTTTGCATTGCCTAACGATCAAATAAATTATGATGGTATGTAAATCTCGAAAACGTGTACAAATCCTTCATCTATTCACTTGGTTACCGTAGACTAGTGATGACTACGGCCGCTGGTTTGGAGGTTGAATTAACCACTTCTTGTTCAGATGATTCCATTAAGGATAAATGTGTTTCACAAAAGCTAACTTCTTGTTTCTTGTACCTGATTTGTTCACCAGAGTGTCTAGATCAACGTTCGTCCTTGTGTTCCTTCTGAAGGTTCGCTATCGCTGTTGCACCATAACCGTCTTTCAGGGGAGACTATTATCTAATATGATCTGATGTTTCATGACCTATCATAGTTGACAACACTGTTTCCCAGCAGGATCCATCAAGTTGGTCGAGAAAAAGTTTAAAAGCTGAACAAGAAAATTTTCAGAAATACACAGTAAATATCCGCATTTTTTCAACCCGAAACTTTAGTGACGTTATGCACATGGAGTTGTGCAATGTGACATGTTCTGTTTATAGGTGAATCTTCCGAAAATGCGGTTGAATAGACTATAAATTTCCTAAGTTCTCATTGAATGAAGACATTTAAAAATTTAGCCTTAATTTAGGTCACACTTTCTACGATACAGAAGAAATTTCCGGCTTAGTTGGGTGAATAAATGTGGAAACAACCATTCTTACCTAGCAATATTGCTCCAAGCAGTTCACAAATCGTGGCCAGAACACACGCTTGTCGCAGAGTGAGCACTTTGGAGCCCACACTGGTCCCGAATGAATTGGCCACGTCGTTTGCTCCGATTCCAAACGCCAAAACAAAGGCCACCACGAAACCGACAACTATCATCCATATTTGGTTTTCGGGTATTAACATTGTGGTCAAAAGTGTTTGTCTGTTTGATATTACTTGACATGGATAGTGAAATATAAAAAAGTTCAAAATGAAAATTTGAAGTGAATAGTTGGAACAAATTTACACCAAAAATAGCAGTAAACAATAATTTAAAACAACAGGTGACCAAATGATAATTAACGCCCACTTAAATGAGAAGACCTGTGTGATAAAGTTCAGGGCAATGAAGTAACCAAAACGTACACTGCTGGTTTCAGCCCCAATGAAGCATAGACTCCACGCCTTAATCCTCATAATGACCCTGTACAGACCACCTGCTAATAAAGTAGGAACCAGTGCTCCAATTTCCAACATGAGTATCCGTATGGAATTCAAAGATGACATAATATCGGATTGTTGGAGGAACAGTGTTTCATTTGTGCGTTGTTTTGAAGATGCAGCTTCAGACAAATTCCATTTCAGCTAGCCCCAATATACGGTGTGCAGTTCGTCTGTCAACCAACTAAATACTACTATCATTTTGGCTTTAAAATTTTGACCTGAGGTAAAGTTAAGGATCATGGACACCCAAATTGTTTGCGTCATGCACATGTTACTCGACCTCCACTCACAAGCAAAAAAGTGTTGCCAACAAATCAAAAGTTGACCATCTTTTTAGTTATTTTATTGGTTTGTCAGTAAGATATCTGTAGAAATCGTACGTTGTGTTTATTGTGTCCAATCGGTACATGAACGTTCTGATTGACCGCAACAAAAAATAGTCATAATCAAATATTTAGTGACGACATTTAGAATATTTGGGAATATCTTTTACGAATAAGCTAAGAGGTATATACTAAAAGCTTGTTTCGCTTTCTTTCTCGTTGTGAGTTATCCTATGCGAATTGGAAACGATCAACAGGATACCCGTAAACTATTCAGTGAAATGTTCTTATTTTCGTCCATAAAACAAGCATGATTTCGCTGGCTTGCTTTCTCTCTTACTCTCGCACTTCTGCGTAAACCGTTTGGTTTTGTATTTTAAACGCTTTTGACAATCACTGTCACTCTGTAACACATATATCTCAAATGTTATTAATTTCGTTTTTAAATCAAAGTCACATAGCTTCACGTTTGAGCTTCCGTAGTCAGAGTAAATCACTGAGAGTTAGTAATTTATCGCGGTTAGTGATAATCACAAAAAAGGTAGCGTTTGAATGTCTTAAATGGGTTAACATGTATTACTTTTGAAATAAATAAGGAAACTTATTTAACAGCTTTATCACTTTTGCAATCCCCTCATCTCTTTCATATTGACAGTTATTCATTACAAACACAGAATACCAAATACCTTAAATAACAAATCCCTCTTTTTTTTCCGCAATGGTTTTTCCACATTGTTCCTCTTTTGTGACGGGATCCCCACTTTTCTATCAGTATTGTCGCGTTGACACCATGCATGGACCTCTGTTGAACTGGAAACTGTCAATTGCGTATGAGCTCCCCCC